TAGTTATTTACATATGTTACACACATATTTACATAAGCTCTGCATTTTATTATGTGTAATTCGTATCGAGATTAAAATGATATGACAAGGATACCCTTAGAAAAGGATAAGGGTGTCCTGGGGATCCAGAGATTCATGGTACCATGCCTGCTTTGCTCTGTCACCTGAGCAGAGCATCTCCACCAGGACTTGGGCCTCTTTTCAGAGATTTGTTGTGTCTAGAAATCACACATGAGAGGTTCTACCTGGAGCTGCAGAAGCTGTGAAAGCTCTCTGGGCCATGAGGCCAGCCCACTTCACCTCTAGGCTTGATTCAGTTGCCGCGAGCAGAAATTCAGGCCAGCTCAGTGGGGGAAGGGGGGTGGGGGCGCAGGGGGCGCGCTGGCCAAAGTCAGCTCCAAGTCTGTCCCCTTCACTGCTTTTATGCTGGGTGAACTCGCATAGCTTAACCCACTGAGCTTCAGTTTTGTCACCTTCAAATGGAGATGTCTTCAAATAATCCTGTTCTGCCTACGTCATAAGGCTGCTGGCAGAACTCAACGAAGTAAGTGATAGCACGTCAAAAGCCATCGCTTCTGCGCTGCGGTGCTCTGACAGTGCTGGTGATATAAACATGCCGTGTGTGTATGTGTTGGCCGGGCTGGGTCTTTGTTTGCTGGCTTTCTCTAGTCGTGGTGAGCAGAGGCTACTCTTGTCGTGGAGCACGGGTCCTGGGGTTCTCGGGTGTGTGGGCTTCAGTACTTGCAGCTCTCGGGCTTGGCTGCCCGTGGCATGTGGGATCTGCCTGGGCCAGTGATCAAACATGTGTCCCCTGCCTCGGCAGGCGGGTTCTTAACCCCTGGGCCACCAGGGAAGTCCAAGTGCTGTTATTTTTGACAGTCGACTTCTGAAGCAGCCCACCCTGGTCAGGAAATGGTCAGGAAAGCTTCCCTCTGTCTGAGACCTGTGGGTTGGTAGGGTAAGGGACTTGTACATGCCAAGTTGCTTCAGTCGTGTCTGACTCTTTGTGACTCCATGAACTGTAGCCCACCAGGCTCCTTTGTCCATTGGATTCTCCAGGCAGGAATGCTAGAGTGGGTTTCCATGTCCTCCTCCAGGGCATCTTCCCGAACCAGGGCTTGAACTCACGTCTCTTTAAGTCTCCTGCATTGGTAGGTGGGTTCTTTACCATTAGTGTCACCTGGGAAGTCCAAGGGACTTGTACCCCGTCACCAAAGAGGTTTGCACTTATAAGTACTGTGAGAACTGACATCTGTGCTTGGGTTGAAAAAGTGATGGCATCCATGAATACCAGCTTAGCAACAGCTATGCTGCTTGTTCCAGGAGAGGCAGGCAGTATCCATTCGGAAGCAGAAATTGCGGGCAAGTGGTTAAACCAGGAGGATACAGGAAAAAGGTCTTTTTGATGAAGAGCAAGGCCTCCCCTAAAGCTGCGGGCATGGAGTGTAAACACACATTGAAATCATCCATCAGTGGGGTGACTTCCCTCCTCAGACCTTGGAGAGAGAATGCTTTAGCTGCTGCCTGGAACGCCACTAAGCTCTCAGTTGCCTAGGAGACTGGTCACATGGGCCCATCTTCCAGACTTGTTCAAAATGATTTAGTTTCCTTTATGTTGTAGGGCAGTGGGGGAGTGGGGTCAGAAGTACTTCCGAAGCCTTGTCCTCCGATAGTGGGGCCTTTGTGGAGGTGTCCTCACTTCCCTCCACTTCTGTTTTGTTGGCCCTTGCCCTGGGCAGTTGGGATGAAAATAGCATTTCCTGTCCCGCTGCTCTTCCCCATTTTCTGAACCCTGTGTCATCCCACACGGGGGAGGCTTGAGGGGGAAGGAGTGGCAGCAGTAAGCAGGGAGGAAGTGAGAGAGCTGTGGCCGGGCCCTGCTGACTCTGGGGTCTGGGCTGACCACAGAGCTGGCAGGACTCCTTTAACCACCCAGCCAGGAGCAGCCTGTGTCTGTTCTTACTGGTCTTCGGGCATATGTTTCTCCCTCTCAGGGTCCCAGGACAGGGCTTTGCAGTCAATATGCTCATTTACCATGGGGCCTTCCTGGCCCTCCAGATGAAGCGTCACATTGCAAATCTTGCCGCTGGCTTATCTGCAGCGGATAGATAGGTTTGTCCCTTTTCTACTAGCCAATCTGATCTAAAGAGACAAAAGGCCCAAGGAAAGGTTGTGGTTGATCTCGGAAAGCTCAAAGCAAGTAGTTCTATATGTTTCTTTGGACACTACCTTCCGATTTTTCAAAATATGTAACAAAACTAAAAACGAAGGCAAACTCAATCTTTCCCATTCTTTCTCCCTAGGCAGCTGTGTCTGTGTGTCTATCTTGGAGAGGCAGGCCCCGTTGGGAACGATGCCACCACCATCAGACATTGTCAAAGTGGCTATTGAATGGCCAGGTGCTAATGCGCAGCTCCTCGAAATTGACCAGGTAAGCTCTGGAAGTGAGGAGTCAGGGAGCGCGGGGCAGGAGGCATCTTTCAGGGTAGGGACCACTGGCTTCAGAAGTAGGAGTCAGTCAAGGCCTGTCCCCTGCTCTGGAAGGCTGGTCACCACGGCCGGCAAGAGGCTTCCTCTTCGAGAAAAGCTCTCAGGGAAGAAGTCTATGTTCTCTGCCTGGCAGACCCTCTCATTAGGACCCTGGCAGTAGCAGGATGTGGCAGCTGGCGAAGGATCTCTCCCCTCATCCCCACCACCCCCCTCTCTTTCAGAAACGGCCCCTGGCGTCCATCATCAAGGAAGTTTGTGATGGGTAAGTTGAAATTGCCCCCTGTTTTAGACAGGCTAAAGACAGAGGAGCACTCCCAGACCCTGAAAGGAATTCTGCCCGAGGACCTGCAGTTAGGCAGATCCCCAGTCTGGGGCTTTTATGGATCATTGTCCCATGATGGAAGGATCGCTGGTGGGGATGTCCCCAAGATCTGCTGTCAGTCTGTAGGAATGCCCCACCTGAGGTCCTGGTGGGGTCTGAGACCCGTGTTGAATTATATGTGCCACCTTTGTGGTGCCAGTCTCTGCAGAAGGCAAAGGAGGTTACTGTTGAATATCTCAACTTAGAGCTTTGTTTCCACCCACTCCGCACGCCTCCCCCCGCCCCCCGCCCCCCATACATCACAGTGACCACCCAATCCCTTCAGCAGCTCTACTGAACGTTCTTTACCTGCAGCTTCTAGACAGGCCTCCAGGTATGTATGGCCAGAGACTGCACTGTTTCTCTCTTACACAGGTGGTCGTTGCCAAACCCGGAGTATTATACCCTCCGTTACGCGGACGGCCCCCAGCTCTACATCACCGAGCAGGTCAGTTACAGGGACTGCTCTCGCGTGGGCCGCCCGAGGTGGTGGTGCGGGTGGCCCTCGGGAGCCTCCACCTCCTGGGGCGAGAGCTGCTGCCTGGGCAGGTCAGGGCACGTCAGCCCTTACTCTCCTCTAGTGGCTGGGGAATGTGGCTTCTGCCTCCTGAGAGGTGCTCGAAAAGCATCTCAGAAATTCATGGCCAAGAAACAAGCAGGAGGAGAGAGCCTGACTGAAGAGTGTCAGTTACAACTCCTTTAGAAATGACAGCAAGTTCCTGCTGACCCAGCTTGCTTGCCCAGTGTTATATTTTATCTTAGCTGCTCTTTGTTTCTCTTGCCGCCCAGACTCGCAGCGACATTAAGAACGGGACGATCTTACAGCTGGCTATCTCCCCGGTAGGTATTCTGCTTTCCTCAGGAATTCTTTTATCTGTCAAGCGTACGTGAGTCCCTGCCGTGGGCCAGACTCTGTTCTAGAAAGGAAGACCTGGAGGTGAAAAATGCCCGTCTTCGCTCTCACAACCTAGTGGGGAGTAAACAGATACAGTATAAGGCCTCCCTCCGGGGTCTGGAGAGAACGTTGTTCAGGGAGCAGTGAGAACTCAGAAAAGGGCGCACTGGACTCAGCCTGAGGAGTCCGGGGAAGCCCTTCCAGAGGAGGGGACACATGGCTCCCGTGTTGAAGGGTAAGCAGGAATCAGCTGAAGAAAGAGGAAAAGGAAATGTACTCCAGGCAGAGAGACATGCTTTGTTTAGGAGGGTCTGGAGTGCTGGGTGGCCGAGGGCCAGTAGCGATCAGTCAGAAGCCAGAGGAAAGTTCCTCGGTGGCCTTCATGCAGGTTGGACTTGATCCAGAAGGGGATATGGAGGACACTGAAAGATTTTAAGCGGGAAGCAATATTTTATTTAGATTTGTATTTTGAAAGATGGCTTTAATGACAGTATGGAAGATAGTGGAAGGCATCTTCAAGAAGCCGGTGAGCAGTGTTAACAGCCCATGAAGGCAGTGGCCGTGGAGATGAAAGGGTGGGCGAGGAAAAGTGGAGGGGAGCTTGGTGAAGAAGCTGGAAGGAGCGAGGCAGTCCACGCTGGCCCCCTGATTTCTGCCAGGGCAGCCCTGCCAGGTAGCTGAGGAGGCATCCAGAAGGTGGGAAGGAAGCAGGAGCTTGAAGTGGCTTAGGAGCTGAGGGCAGGGGCAGCGTCAGGATGGAGGGCGGCGTGGTCCGCGGTGAGCAGAAGGAAGGGAAACTGAGGACAGAAGAGCCGTCTGATGATCTGGGAGACCGGTTCGCGGCCGCTGGCAGCCAGGTGGCAGTATGTCAACTTTCCAAGGTGAGGACCTTGAATTCACCGCATTATCAGGAAGCTGGGTTTAAGAGGAAGTAGATACAGAAGGTACTAGCTCCAGGATACAGAGTTGAAAAGATACACTTTCTTAAAAAAAGGTGAAACATTTGTGTATTTTAGAATCAAAAAGGTTTGACAGAGAGCCAGCAAAAGGTCTCCTCTGCCTAGCTCCCCGCCTCCTCCAACCTGTCAGGGTTGTTCCCTTCTCTGGCGGTTTTTCTGTGTCCTTGAGAATGTTTTCAGATGGAAGAGACGGAGGTTGCAGTGCGGGAAAGAGGGGGCGAGCGACTGGGCAGGCGGGACCTTGGTGCCCGCGGGACAGGAGGGCCCACCGCCCAGCGCGGGGCTCACCCTGACTGCTCGGCCGGAGCGGGGCCGGTGACACGGGGGAGGCCTCGGCGCATCTGCAGCTTCTGTGGCAGCTTCTCGTGTGTCCTGTTACGGACACGTAGTGGAGGGTGTTGCCAGCCGCTGTTCCCTTGGTAACATGAGAAACTGCTCTGTCCGCACCATACCAGCAGCTGCTTTTTGCTGAATGCCTGGGTTTAGCTGAATCCTTTCACATATGGTATCATGAGATGAGTACTCTCGATAGCCCCATTTTTCAGACCAGGAAACTGAGACTCCCGTTCAACAAGTCGCCGGTTGTCGACAGTCAGGACAGGTCAGAGCCGCCTTTCAGACCCAAGTCCGGGAGCCTCGGGGCCAGTGTTCGCGGCACCTCTGCCTCCTGCTTCCCTCTCTCCTCAGCTGTCCTTGTCCTAAGGACCCCATCTCCGTCCCCAGATGCTCTGCCAGTTTAATGTGACAGCCTGGGAGCTGTGTCCTTCACAGAAGTGCCCAAGTGTTTTCCGGGCCCCTGTGCAGAGCAGGTGACTTTCCCTGGAGCAGGGTGCTGCGGGAGGTGGCCGCCCAGAAACACCGTCTCAGGAGGAAAGTGAACATTTGGAGTTGGAAGGTTCTAAGTGTGATGCGGGCCAATGCTCTTGGAATCGTCCTGTCCTGTGGCCCTTTCTCGGGCCCTCACGTTCTCCACCGAGGCGGTAACAGGATGTCCATGTCCTCGAGGCATGTGCGGTTGGAAGGGCGAAACACGGGCAGCCTGACTCCTTGACAGCTGAGAACGGGACCTCCTGTCACTTACTTTAGCACTGTAAAGAAAAATTAAAACCCCAGGAGCGGGTTTGCTCTCCAGACTTCCATTCCAACCGAGACCATGAAATTAACCCACAAAATATAGAGTGATGAACCAGTAAGATGTGAGGCTCTGGCTGTAAGGTTAAGAAGTTCAGCAGCAGGAAGGACCCGTGAACACGAGAGGAGGGGTCGCAGCCGCGTTTGCAGGAAGGAGGCAGGTGCTCCAAAAGGGGAAGGGTCACCTGCTCGGGGGAGGCTCTGGCTCCTGCCATCCTTTTCTAAAAGCTGTCTCGAAATTAGCTGCTGCTTGGTATTCTTAAAGTTTCTCCAGGGCTAGCACTTTGAGGAACAACAATATGGACTTTTGAAAGAAAGTAAAAAAATATATATGTATCGGGCTTACCAGTTTCAGATTGAAAAAGAGACCTTAGAGGTCATCAGATTGAATTCTCCACCCAATGCAGGAATCCCTCCCATAGCACTTTTGACAGATGTCATCCAGATTTTCCTTGATTGCTTCCAGTGACCAAGCCCAGTACTTCAAGAGACAGCCTCTTCCACTGTCTGATGGCTTTAGTTAATAGAGAACTCTTACAGGTACCAAATGGGGAAAGGGGGTGGGGGGTAAATCAGGAGTTGGGATTAGCAGGCACGAACTACCATATATAAAATAGGTTAACAAGGTCCTACTGCATAGCACAGGGAACTAGATTCAGTATCCTATAATAAACAATGATGGCAAAGAATACAATAAAGAACGTATGTATGGAAAACATGTAACAGTTCAATGTACACTAGAAACTAACACAACGTTCTAAATCAACTGAAAGTCAGTTTAAAAAAAGAAAAACTCTCCAATATTGATTGAACCATTATCTGTTGATTCATTGGAAAAAACCCTGATGCTGGGAAAGACTGAAGGCAAAAGGATAAGGGGATGGCAGAGGGTGAGGTGGTTTGATAGCATCACTGGCTCAATGGACATGAATTTGAGTAAATTCCAAGAGATAGTAGAGGACAAGGAAGCCTGCGTGCTGCAGTTCATGGGGTCGCAGAGTTGGACACGACTTAGCAACTTAACAACAGCATTAGTCTGTCTCTTTGTGACCTGCCGTAGGTAGTGGATTGTCATCCCTCAGATCTCTTATATTCTCTCTGTGGGACTCTTTTTAATACATAGACCAGAGTGATATAGAAAGGATACACTTGGCTACAGATCTCTCTTGACCTACTGGTGATTCCCTGATGGATCCAGTAAACATTTATTTAGCAAATATTAAGCAGTGAGAAAAGCGCTTTCTGCCTCGGGCTTGAGAGTCCACAGGGGCCCCTGTGAGCTATTCCCAGAGCAGCGACCCGCCACGGGGAGCAGATGTCCTGTATCTTCTCCTTGGTCCTGTAGTCCCGGGCCGCACGCCAGCTGATGGAGAGGACCCAGTCCTCCAGCATGGAGACCCGGCTGGATGCCATGAAGGAGCTGGCCAAGCTCTCTGCCGACGTGACCTTCGCCACCGAGTTCATCAACATGGACGGCATCGTTGTACTGACGCGGCTCGTGGAAAGCGGAACCAAGCTCTTGTCCCAGTGAGTGTTTCCAGGGTCTCCACAGGGGCTCTCAGAGATCTGCGACATTCCTCAGGGCATCCCAGTCTCTTTTCCATTGAGTCAGATGCACTTACTGAGCTCCACCTGCATATGGAGCAGCGTGCCAAGCACTGAGGTCCACACAGAGGGGCATAACTTCTTGTGGCCCTAACTCTCCTAGTCTAGTTGGGCTCTCACAAATTCAGAGACGGGGCAAAGCAGCTCTGTGCTAAGTGAGAAGTAAAACTCAGGGCTGAGGATGTTGGAAAGAGAGAGGTCAGCTCGCAGCTGCAATCATTTCTGGAAAGTAGATGTGACGTGATGCAGGTTAGTGAGCGGACTGTCCGTTATCAACTAGAATAGATACTGTCTGTCTATTCTTAACCACATCCCACCTCCCTCCCTCTCCAGTCACCTCCCCTGCCGCCCATACACAAGCTCCTGATACACAGACATGTGTGGCCCTCCTCTGTAATAGCTCTCCCTCACCCCTTCACTGTCTCCCTGTCACCCGTTTTCACAGTGGGTGGGGTTTGACGGGGCATCCAGAACTTTGTGATGCACCGGAAATGTCTTTGTGCTACTCGAGTGCCAAGGGGAACGTGGTGGGAAAGTGCCCTGTTGATATCAGCAGTGAATAAACATGTTTAGTTTGTCTTCTAAGCCCATGGAACCTAAGCCAGCGGAGAGGGAGTCAGAAATCTTCTCTCAGTTGATGGATCAGCTGCTGAAGTTTCTTAGCCAAACTGAGCTACTCATCTTGGGTATTTGTTTTAAGCCATGGGTTCACCAGCTGCATGGAAATCCTGAAGCCTGTGGCTGCTGTCAGCACTGACCCGGGGGTTCCCAGTCTCCCAGGAGTGCAGGGTTAGACTGGCTGTGGTTCCCTCCTCTTTAAAATGGAGGTGATACCCAGCTGGCTGCCCTGTCCTGAGGAGGATCGTGGGTGAGATGGGTTAGAACGTGCTTTGTAAATGGAAACATGGTCTATAAATCATAGACCACTGGTGTGCCACAGTCCGTGGTATCACAGAGTCGGACACGATTGAAGGGACTGAGCCCGCACACGCACGTACGGGTGTGTAACGGATACAGTGTATACAGAGCAGAAAAGGGGGAGGAACCATTTAAATCCTTCCTGTCCGTCAGCACTCTGGTCAGGTTTCTCATGCCTCATCATCCTGTCCTCACCGCAACCCCGTGAGGTTAACACTGCGAGAGGAACTCCATTTTGCAGAGAGAGAAATAGAAGTCTGAAAAGATAAGATTTGCACAGCTAGTAAGTGTTTGGACAAGAGCTGAAACCATGGGCCAAAGTTCACCTTCTTTCTCCTACGTTCTGCTGCCTCCTGGCCTAAAGGTGGACCTGGGATGCAAGCTCCCTTGGGCACCCCCACCAGGTGTTGTGGTTTGAGGAGGGTTTGGTGGACGGGAGATGGCTGAGGGACAGTTTCCCTGAGATGAGGAAGCCTGGTCGCCCAGCCACCTTCCCCTCTGTGATACTAGAGACCTGGGGAGGAATCCGCTCCCCGCCTGGTGTAGGCGTCAGCCAGGCGCCGGGCCCCGTGGCGTCCGCGGATTTCTCGCATGGCGCTTCCGCTGAAACCCGTGCCAGCTGTAGCTCCCTTCTCGCCTGTGTTCCCTGGTGCTGAACCTTCGTATCGTTTTGTGTGTGTTTTGCACATGTCTCAGCTACAGTGAGATGCTGGCATTCACCCTGACTGCCTTCTTAGAGCTCATGGACCATGGCATTGTCTCCTGGGACATGGTTTCCATCACCTTTATTAAGCAGGTGAGGCTTCCAAACTTCCGTCTCTCCTCCGTTCGTCACCAGGTGTTCGCTAGGCTCAAGGGGAGATGCAGGCTACACAGCTGCTCCAGGGAGGGTCGGCCTTGTAGCCCCAAGGCCAGGTTTTTCATCCGCAGGCTCTGGCCTTCCTGTGGCTCCTGGAAGACGTACCGAGACTTTGTTATACTCACAGGGCCTGCGCTGAGAAGGTGGGACTGGACTCCCAGAACCCAGTGTGGCCAAAGTGGGATTGGATTGTCCGTGAGACCTGCGGTAGCGCCAGCCAGCCCACCAGCCCCATCCCTAAGTCTCTTGACTGCTTCCTGAGCCCTCCCTCCTCTTGGGATTAAAAAAAAAAATGTTCATTTCATTTGCCTTATATTCTCTTACATTTACTAGTGTGCCTTCTGTTTACGAATCTGCAGGCGAGCCTGTTTGTCAGATGAACTCACTGTGGAGAGGAGAGACTTCTAGTTTTTTCCCTCTTCTAGAAGAAGAGGCAGTGTCACCTCCAAAAACTGAACTGAAAACCAATAAATGCTAATCTCAGCTGATCTAGATTGCACCTGTCATTGGCTTGGGACATTGAGAACTTCCTGATGCTAGAGACACTTAGGCACAAGGGCAATGACCGTGTGTCAAGGATATTCTCCATGCCACTGAGCAGAGACTAGATTACGAGACTCAGGTCCTTTCCGTGTCCCCGAGTCTGCGTGTACAGGGGCAAGTGTACGTCAGGGGAACTGCACGTGGCGAGCACACGAGGTCCCAGCAACAGGAAGAGCCTCTGCTCCTCACCCTCAGCCCTTCCAGGCCCAAACCTTGTTTTTAAAAACAGGGGATTAAGCCCTTTGGTTTAAGGAAACACAGTTGAGTGGATACTGTCATTTGAAATTGAGTTATGCATTATCCATGCCCGGGGACTCCCTGGCACCCTGGCCAACACAGCAGACACCATTGTCGCCTGGGGGCAGCTGTCCAGAAGTGGGCAGCACACCTAAGCGGGGAGAGTCCTGGGCAGGGGGCGGGCACCCGAAACCTAAGCCTTCAGCCCTCGCGGGCTTCCTGACCGCCTTGCCCTCTCTGGCTCTAGATCGCGGGGTACGTGAGCCAGCCCATGGTGGACGTGTCCATCCTGCAGAGGTCCCTGGCCATCCTGGAGAGCATGGTCTTGAACAGCCAGAGCCTGTACCAGAAGGTCGCGGAGGAGATCACCGTGGGGCAGCTCATCTCGCACCTGCAGGTGTAAGTGCCACCCCGCCCGGCCCGGCCTCCCCTGCCCTCCGCCCTACTTCTGCCGCAGCTGTGTTCCCAGATGCTGGTCCGCTTGTCACTCATCACCTCTTCCCTTCTACTCACTGCTGGAACTCCTCCCATAATTCAGACCTGGTCATGTCACGCTCCCGCCTGAAACCCTCTGTAACTCTCTTCACCTCTTAGGATAGCATGAAGCTGTTCCCAATCCATCCGTGTATCACCATGGTGCCAGACAGAATTAGACGCTTTCTCCTCTATGAGCCCAATAGTCCCTGTTTGTACCTATGACAATCATATGAAATACTGTATTTTTTATTGTCTCGCATTTTAAACGTTGAGTTGGGAACAGGGACCAGTTTTGTATCCCTTATTTTAAGTAGAAGGTCTGTTAGTATTTCTTGAATGAACCCTTGCTGAACTAGCAGCATGCGGTCGAGGGTAGCAGGAAGTATCTTGCAGAGCATGAGTTCTAATTCAGGCTCTACTGCAGACGAGGTCTCAGCGCTCACAAGCTGCCTCCTCTCTTCTGGCTTCAGTTTCCACGCCTCTACCCTGGGGTTAATCCTTCCCACCTCTCAGGCTTGTGAGGATCAAAGGAGAGAAGAGGTCTAGTGCAGGGACCCACACGGGATAGGTATTCGTTCAGGAGAGGGTTTTTTTGTTGTTGGTCTTTGTTTTTTTAAGAAGTTTATCCCATCCTAAGATAATTGATAGATAGTAAACAGAAGCTAAAGACAGATGAACCCTTTGGAGCCTGTTCTCCCTTCCCCATTCTTTTTTCTTCCCTTTCAGCCATTCCACGCAATTTAAGGGGCCTGGACTCTCCAAAACCAAGGATGGTGATAGTGCTGACACCTTCCTACCTCCTGCCCCCTTCCAGCGTGTGGGTGGTTGACTGAATATGCTGCCGGTTCCCGGGGAAGCCAGAATTCCCAGACTCGGTTGTTTTTAGCAGCCTTTTCTTCACTCAGCTGTGCTCTCAGCCCAAACCTTCCCACGAGCCCAAGTGAAGAAAAGCACCAGGAAATCTGCAGCTCTGACTCCTTCCTCCTTGGCACTTCTCTGGGGGATTCTTCAGTCTGTTTTCATGCCCCCAAAGCCACGAAGGTTGATTGAAGTGAGAGGACATGATCAACCCCAGATGGAGAGTTCTGATTTCCTGACCTCAGAGTTACCTCTGTTTCTTTGTTTCTGAATTGGAATGACCCAGGCACGTCCTTAGGGAGGCGAGAGGAGCTAGGCGTTTCTTAGGGGTCAGTCTGCGAATATTTTCAACCCATTGCTGTCCCCAGAAGTCATGTCCACTGCTGCTTGGCTGAGGGACCCCTAGTGCCCTCAATCAGACTTCCAAGATGCCTCCGCCCGACCTGGGAGCCCCACAGCCCCTCTGGAGAGAGCCCCAGAATGCAGCCGTGACACAGCAGGTGGAGAGTTCTCATCAATTGCTGGGAGTATGAGATTCCAGAGAAAAGTGGTAGTTACCGTTTATTTAAAATAAAATATGTTCACAGTTGAAGAAGACTTCGTAAAAACAGAGAAGCACAATAAGGAAATCATTTGCCCATTATCCCACCTCTGGACATAACCACTGTTAACATTGTTTTGTTTTGTTTTTTTGCCACCCCACCCCTGAGGCATGTGAGAGCTTAGTTCCCTGACCAGGGATCAGACCCACGCCCCCTGCATTGGCAGCGCACAGTCTTAACCACTGGACTGTCAGGGACGTCCCTAACATTAAATTGACTGTCTCACTGGTCTTTTTTTTTTTTTCCTTCTATGAATACTTGTGAAAAAGTTGGAATCTTACTATACATACTTTGTGTACCTTGACTTTTTTTTTTTTTAAACAGAGTAATAGCTCTTGAACATTTCCCATGTCAAAGAACCTTCTAAAAGGGTAGTTCTTAATTTTTTTTTGCATTCCAGATGCCTTTGAAAATCCAGTAATGGTTATGAACTCTCACCTCCATGGAAGAACTGTCACATAGTCAACCGGATAAATGGAATAATGGCTATACCGTTTCTAGGGTGTATAGATACCCTAAGCCCATCCCTAACCCCAAATGAAGAACCTTTGTGCTAAAACAGTGACTGCTTAGGATTTTAATGTACATGGACAGAGTTGCTTCTGTGGACATTTGCATTATTTACTGTTCTTCTTTTTAGTAGTACTTTGATAAAACACTTTGCCAGTGACTCACACACAGTTCTCTGATGGCTGTCTTTGGATAAATTCCTCCTAGTTGAATTGCTGGGTCAGGGGCTCTGCCCTGTTTTAAGGCTTTTGATCCTTGGCCTCTGATTATTGTATGACAGTCTGCGAGTGATTGCTGTAAACCATTTCTTGCTGGTCAATCTTCTAATCTCCCTCTGCCTTCTCTCTCCGTTGACACAGCTCCAACCAGGAGATTCAGACCTACGCCATTGCACTGATTAATGCACTTTTTCTGAAGGCCCCTGAGGACAAGCGACAGGTCTGTGGCAGCCTTTTTAAGCTTTCCATCTGGGCTTTTCCGAGAGAAGACCTCACCCAGCCAGTCAGGGACTCTTGGGAGAGTCCTTCATCCTGTCCCTCTGTAGCAAGAGCCCATCACAGTGGCTTTGCTAATAAGGAAGACCCTGGGAAGGCCAAGAGGGGGAGACCAGTCGGGTCCTAGTTCAGGGCAGGGACCTGCAGACTTTTTCCCCTCAAGGCCGAATAAGTATTTTTTTCTTTGGTGGGCCTTATGGTCTATGTGGCAGCTCTTCAGCCTTCCTGCTATAGCCAAAGGCAGCCTCAGACAGTAGACAGCAGGTGGGTGTGGTGACTGTCTTTGCATAAGACCTTGACATCTCATTTGGCCTTGGTGTGGCTACCCCTGGGTTAGAGGATCAAGAAGCAGGGAGAGGAGACTCCCTAGGCAGCCCTGCCAGGCCCTAGGAGACAGAAACAGATGCCATCCTTGCTGAAGGAAGCAACAGCGGAGACATGTGGCTCGAAGTTTCATGTATAAAGATCCTCTCATCCGGGTTGTAAACTTTTCCCTATTAGTTAGCTATGTGACATGATGCAAATTGCTCTACTTCTCTGAGCCCCAGTGTCCTCACCTATAACATGGGAGCAGCGTCTGCCCCATTCATTCATAAGGATGTCACGAGAAAACACAGAGCCCTGCTTTCCCAGGGAGGAAACTAGGGATGAGCAGACCAGTGGAGCCAACACTGGCCTCAGAGGCCAGAGCCCAAGGCCAAGCTTTTCTCACCACTGCCAGGCAAGCGCTCTGACCCCTCTGGGTCTCCACTTCTCTTTCTGTAAAATGCAAGGGCCAGGTTAAAGGATCTGTAAGTGCCCTTCCAACACTACCATTCTAGATTTCTCTGGTCAAAGCCCAAGAGAGGTACATAAGAAAGGCTGTGTAATTCTCGGTCAACACCCTGGGCTCAGTAAGTTGTAATTCCCGTGGGATCATGTACCGAGTTCTTGGAAGGTTCTGGTGGGAGGACCTGGAGCATCTGTGGTTCTGTCTGTCCTTGTCTTGGATGGCTTGCTCTGTTCATCTCTTCCTCCCTAGTCCTGTTGTGAATGTAAGCCGAAAGCTCATTCTTCCATCTGCTTCTCTCTGTGCTTTTTGCTTTCTGCCGGCAGGACAAGCACCTTAATCCTCTAGACCTGCCTGTCACTGTAAGTAGCACTGCCGTGTGGAAAGGGGCCTGCTGTCTTCCAGGTGGGGAGGTCAAAGCCAGGCAAAAATCTCCTGATCTGATCAGGCTGTTCAAGGAGCTCCAAGACACAGGAAAAGGTTGTGTGCTGTAAATCTCATTTGTCAGGACACTGAGGGAAGCACCGAGGATCAGAGTCACTGCAAGGATTAGGGGGCTGCCTGCCCTGGGGAACAGGCCCAGTCTGTGCTTTGTAACCTGCCTCCACGTGGGTCTGTGGTTCAGCTGGAGAAGATCAGATTCAGAAATATCTTGTGACATTCATCTAGATGATGCCAGATGCATCGCCTTCCTGCTTGCTGCGGCAGTAAAGGGAGCCGTGTGCCCTTCTGGATGCTTACTGGACCACAGGGATGGAGAAGCTTTAGACAGCTCTCAGAGGGGGTTCAGATGCTTGCTTCTTGGTTAGAGGGAGCCCAGAGAGGTCAGCTCTACAAGGATATGAAAGAGTGAGTGCTTTCTCCCACCTTCCCGTGCCAGCACCACAGAGAAGTCTTTGGTTGAAGGCCTTTTTGCTCCACTAGCAGACCACTGGCAGTTACCCACTCTGTGAGTTGTCAACAGCAAGGTTTAAGCTCCATAACCAGGCTTCCATAGCTACTGAAGAAGTTTCTAGTCCACCTTCTTCCTCTGCCAGCCAGTGTGTGCTCGGGGGACTCAAAGTAAAACTTGATGTTCCTGGCAGCGTCAGCCGTCCAGAGTGAGGCCAGAAATCTAGAAGCGAGAGAGAGGCCTTCCAGCTCAGAAAGATGATTATCTGTGGAATTAAATGAAGGCAGCTTAGAAAGTGAAGTCATATGAATTAACATTATAAGAAGTGATGGCTGACACTGGAAGGAAGAGAGAGAAGAATTATGAAAAGCTGTCCAAAAAATTAAAAGCATAGTAATCTAGACGCATTTTGTTTAGGGGAAAATAGCTTCACATTTCAGAAGCCCCTTAACAGTGTCACAACACAGAATAATAACTGATGTGGGTTTTACTGATGGAACCAAATCCTTGGTAGTGATTAAATTAGAATCGTTATAGTCTCTTCAGAAATAAAGAAGTTATATATTTTGAGAAGATTAGCACAAGAATGGTCAAAGTAATGGTTCTGAGAGGACCCTTAAGGCTTCATTCCCTGGAAGATTCACTTAAGACACTGTATTTCCTGAGTGTGCTAAATAGTTACTGTCAAAATCTGAACCCAACATAATAAAAAAGGTGACCCTGTTGTGAAAAATTACCCCAAAGCACACAACAGATTGTTCTCTAAAACCAGCCAGAAGTGAGTCATGGACCACTTACTGTTTCAGAGCATCCCGCCCGAGTTCCTGCTGGCGTGGTGCTGGGGGCTGGGGGGATGCTGGGGCCAAGGCCTTTCCCTGGTTTGGAGTCAGCGTTTCACCAGAGCCCCTTGCAGCCTTGGCAGTGATTCCAGCCGGGGACCGTGCATGTGGCCTGGGAACCATCACGCCGCTCTGTGCCCTGTGCTCATTGTCCATTGCCCAGCGTCCTTGTAACGTCTCGTCCTAAAGCAGTCTTTGTCCCTCTCTGAAGATGACTCAGTTGATTGTGCCATTGAGAAAGGAAGCCCTGTTTGCCTTCATTTGTACTCTGAAAAGAAAATGTGTAGGAATTTTTCAGAGTATAAAATACATAGTTGAAGGTCTGTGAATTTTTACCCCATGTGCCCACTTTTCATTTGAAAAGAAGAAAAAAATCAAGGGAAAAAACCTAAGAGCTGTGACATCCCTTCCTTTGGATTGTTGTCACAACTGCATGCCTGCCACCGGCTCAGGTTTGCCTCTTCTTCTCAACAGGACATGGCCAACGCATTTGCACAGAAGCACCTTCGGTCCATAATCCTCAATGTAAGTTCCCAGACAAGCTGTATTTTGTTACTGTTACTGTTTTGTTACAGTTAACTGCAACTATTATTGTTTTTTAAAAAGTTATTTATTTATTTTTGGCTGTGCTGGGCCTTTGCAGCGGGGGCTTCTCTCTAGCGGCGGTGCACAGGTGCGTCCTTGCAGTGGCTTCCCTAGGCATGGAGCACCGGCTCTAGGGTGTGTGGGCTTCAGTAGCTGCAGCACGTGAGCTCAGTAGTTGTGGCTCCCTGGGTCTAGAGCACAGGCCCGACAGCTGTTCCGCAGCACATGGGATCCTCCCAGATCAGGGACCGAACCTGTGTCTCCTGCATTGGCAGGTGGATTCTTTACTACCAAGCCACCAGGGAAGCCCCTACGATTCTTATAGTTGTACTATTATTAGTGAAATTACTATGGAGCAAGGTGGGCACTCAGGAAACTTACTGGTAGGTACTTAACCCTTCCTCAGTTGGAAAGCTGTGTTTTGTGATCCTGTAATCAGGGTTGTCTCGAGGAGGCTGGCCCACCGGGAACTGCAGAGCCTCCAGAGGTCCTTAGCCAGCTAATACTGGCTGGCTGTTTGCTGCCAACTGTTTTGCCCCACAACTCCAAAAAAAGTTTATCCAGAAGGACTGTGTTAAAATAGACACAGAAAGAGCAGTTCATTCAACTGACACTAGTCATAACCCCGAGTTGTATGGGGCCCTGGGAGGGATGCCTGGCCTGTGGGTTCCAAGGGAGGACCCGGCAGTCCCGCCGTGAAGGAGGGGTGTAGGAGGCTGTAGGTGAGGCTGGGGATACAGGAGCAGTCCAATCAGAAGAGGAATTCCTGCGTGGGGAAGGGGGACGCCCAGGAGGAGTGAGTGGTCCTGTGAAGGGTGGAGCAAGGATTTGTGATTGGCTGTGCGCTGTGCTTAGTCGCTCAGTCGTGTCCAACTCTGCGACCCCACAGACTGTAGCTTTCCAGGCTTCTCTGTCCACGGGATTCTCCAGGCAAGAACACTGGAGTGGGTTGCCATGCCCTCCTCCAGCGGATCTTCCTGACCCAGGGATCAAACCCAGGTCTTCCGCATTGCAGGCAGATTATTTACCATCTGAGCCACCAGGGAAGCCCATGACCAGCTGGTGAGGTAGCAAAGAGGACCTTAGTTTTTGTTTTTGTTTTTTTTCAAAAAGCAATTGAGGGTAAATAACCCTGCTGCCTTTTAGAAAGATCACACTTCAAGGACTGTGTTTTCTGAGGGGCAGCGGTGGGGAGAGAGCTGAGGTGGGCGGTGAGGGCAGAGGAAGAGACCAAGGAGCTTGGTTAGAAGGAGGCCATTGTATTGGTTGTCAAAAACAAGGCAAAACTGGGAGACTTCAGTGAAGGAAACAAAATGAGAAATCAAAGAGTCAAGTGTGAAGCCTTCAGAATTCTGAACATGAACTTTGGAGTTGGCTGCCACTCCCCACCCCCCCCATTAACCGGTCCTTGATCTTGAGCAATCTGCTCCCCTTCTGTGGGCTTCAATCTGCTCGCCCGGACGTGGGGACCGAAGGAGCTGATGTACACTGTACTCAGGACTTAGCGGGAGGCCTGGCGCTCCGTGAGCGCTCTGCTCACAGGGGCAGTTCCTTCACCGTGAACGAGACGCATGGAGGGGCACGATTCAAGACGTCCCCGTGGGCGCCTGAGAAGTGGGTCAGCTGCTGTGAACAGGCAGAGCCAGACGCCACCCCGCAGAACCAGCCCCCGCCTTGGGGCTGTCTCCCCGCTCAGAGCCCCCCTGCCGGGGCGGCAGGATGGACAGGAGCAGACGCTGCTGCCCCCGCCTGCCGCACCGGGGCCCGTCCCCATGCCCGGGCAGCTGTCAGGCGCCGTCCTCTGCGTGTGTGGGAGTGGGTGCCCTCCCGAGAGAATTTGAATGAATTCCGGGGCTCGTCCTTTTCATCAGTGGGTTTAGAATGTCAGCTTGTTCCTGGACAAACCTGGCGAACAAGCAAGGCTTCCGTCCACTAGAGAAGACAGTTTGGCGTCAGGACTCGGGACCCAAACGGTCCGCTCAGAAAAGGTTAATGCGCGCTCACTTCCGTCTGGCTTTAGCGGAGTCGAGTCAGAGAGCGGAGGCCTCGAGCTTGACAGTCGAATGAGACTCCATCAGACTGGAGCTGTCCCTCCTTAAGCCTCTGAGGGCTGGAGTCACCACCCTCCCCCCGCTCCGACGTCGCTCAGTGTGAGGAAGGGGGATTACAGTGAATGAAAACCAGGCTGTCTTCAGAGTGGCTTTATGAAATGGAGCGAGGCGAGGAGGGAGGAACAGGGGCAGACAGGTGGGGAGGAACCAGGGTGGCAGCAGGACCCGGAGAAAGGAAGAGACTCGGGCGGAAGCGGAAGGGCCCGAAGCGGCCAAGGCGGAGGAGAGGGACTGGTGTGGGCAGACCGTGAAAAGGAGGCTGGAGAGACAGACGGACACCCAGACCCACGGCGGAGGCGGCCGAAGAGGGCTGGGGTGGGAGATGAGGGCGGAGCATGCGCACCGCGGGCCAGGCAGGGGCAGCGCAGAGCCTGCCACGGGCGGCTATGGGGCGCTCGAGATGCGCCAGGTGCACCTGGAGAACTGGACTTGTCGTTCTGGACAGTTTCAGTTTAATTTCAGTACCCACCTGTGACTTGTGGATCCTGTGATGGGCCTTGCAGTCCAGGGAAAGGAAGAGAAAGGAAGAGCTCTGGAGTCACAGGTGGGGAGAGGAAGCCTAGGGCAGTGCGGGCCAGTGGGAATATGATGTGAGCTGCTGGTTTCATCATCAGTGTTCTAGTAGCAGCATCAAAAGAGGGAGGAAAATTAATTTTTTTTAATAGCATAGTACATAGGGAAAATTAATTTTGATAGCATACTACATTTAACCCAGTATGTCTGAAACCCTATGATATCACCATGTAATCAATAGAAAAATGATTAAGATATTTTACATTTTTTTTTTCACGCCAAGACCCTGATATCCAGTGTGCAGTTTACATTCGCAGCACATCTTGGTCTGGCCCTGCCACATTTCCCGTGTTCAGCAGACACGGGTGGCCAGTGGCTACCAGATTGGGCTGCACAGATCTGAAGAGAGTGTGCAAGCTCTGGAGAAGGACTGATCTCAAGTGAGGGAACGCTAGAGTACTTTAGACACAGCAGGACTTTCTGCGGATGGACATGTTCCACACCAGCTCTGTCGCTGGACGGTAGCCACCAGCCGCAGGTGCCTCCTGAGCTGAACGTGAGGCCAGTGCCTCAGCTTAAGTGAGGCCTCGTAACTTGAGTTAATTCTAACTGACGGAGAGGCACGTGGCCACATACGACAGGGGCTTGGATGCTGGCCAGCACAGCTCTCGAGACGAGCTGGACGGAGGAAGAGAACTCGAAAGGGACAGGCGGTGGTACGTGTGGGGAACCAGGCAGGAGTTTCATTTGATAAGAGAAGACCAAGAGCGCCGGGGCCTAAGGACGGCGGGTGAGATGGAGGGAGCACGGCGTGCAGGGAGCACGTGGGAAAGGGCAGGAGGCTGCCGTGGGCGGGAGGCGGGGTGGGCCGGCGTGGTCAGCCCGGAGGACAGCGGGGCGAGTAGGGCAGGGCAGAGATGCAGCGTGGGCGGCGGAGGAGGCCTGAGCGGCTGGGGCGAGCGGGTGTCGGGAGGAGGCGGTGAGCTCGGGGCAGGGGGGATAGTCAGGGAGAGAAGAGGGACTGGGGTGGGGGCACAGGGAGGGGGCCGTACCCAGAGTGAGCAGGGGGAAGGGGAGACAGAAGGGGTGAGTGGGGGCCCTACAGGGAGCATTAGATGCCCCCCACCTTGGTGTACATGTCTCAAGACGACTGAAAGAAAAGGATCTTTTTGAAACCTCTCTCCTCGATGAGGCCATCCTGAACATTTTCCTGAGAAAAGCGTGCTGTCCAGTTCTGCCAATGACTCTTGAGACACACTCTCTGTTGTTGGGATCAACTGGAATGAGGCCCAGCCACCCACCTACCACATCATAACCTTACCCTTTGTCCTACTTCCCTGCCCAGGGCTGGGCAGAAAAAAAAGATGGTGCCCTTGGGGCTTGCAGTGCATCAGCCCTGCCCGAGTCAGGCCCGTTCATATCCCCCCCTTCTGGAGCGTGCAGGCTCTCTGAGGGGGAGGAAACCCTGTCCCCTGCCCATGCTCTGTCTTTTTCACCAGCATGGATGCAACCCTCCAGCAGAAATCACTTCAACCCTCTGCCCTTGTTCTTTCCAGCATGTGATCCGAGGGAATCGCCCAATCAAAACCGAGATGGCCCATCAGCTGTATGTCCTGCAAGTCCTGACCTTTAACCTTCTGGAAGAAAGGATGATGACCAAGATGGACCCCAACGACCAGGTAGGCTGCCAGTGGGACCGGGCTGTCCCGGCTGGCATTGTGTGCCTTGTGACCTGGTGCCCTCTGCCCTGTGTTTGGAGCACCTGCTTTGTGCTAGGAACTGTGCTTCGTTGTGTCTGCAAAAACGGTTTTGTCAGCTCTGTGCCTCACCGTGATCCCTTCCTGCTGGTGATCCTGGGCCAAGCCCATCTGTATCCTTCTGTGTGATGCCTCCTCAGGGATTGATCGGGGCCAGGGTTCTGCCCGCAAAAGCTCAACCCACTCTTTTCCTTGCTTCCTTTGATCAGCTGACTCATCTGCTGACAGTCTGTTTCACCTCCCAGGCTCAAAGAGACATTATATTTGAACTGAGGAGGATTGCATTTGATGCAGAGTCTGACCCCAGCAACGCCCCCGGGAGTGGGACTGAGAAACGCAAAGCCATGTACACCAAGGACTACAAAATGCTGGGGTTCACTGTAAGTTTCCCAGAGTACTAACACTGTAGACCTTCTCCCCTGACAGGGAGTCAGAGCCCCCCCCCNCAGCCCCAGACAGAACCCTGACAGCCCTCCCTCGTAACATCTCGTAACGTCAGGGGAAGCTGGCGGGCCCTCAGCGCTTGGTCCACTTTGGCCGTGGCAGGTTCACAAGTTTATGTGCAACATTTGGCCCCTTGAAACAAACCCATCTGTAGGAGGGCCCAGGAAGTGGGCCAGATGAGTGGAGAGGGGACCGCTCATCAAAGCAGCTGGTTCCATGAAAAGCTGGAGTGTGTATTGTGATAGGAGACAGCTTGAGGATGGAGTTAATTAAATACTTACTGGGCATCTACTCAGCAACCAGCAGTATTCTAGGCCCTGGGGATGCCAGACAAGTCAGCCTCAGTCCAGTGGCCAGGAACCCAAGCCCTCGCAGTAGAGATGGCACGTAACAGGGGCTTCAGCAGGGGCAGGCATAGTGCAGGGGCGATCGGACGTCCCCCCGAGTGAGCCCCCACAAGGGGAGACCGTCGGGGCTTAAGTCAGATGTCTTTCTTTCCCCAGAACCACATCAACCCCGCGATGGACTTCACCCAGACTCCGCCCGGGATGCTGGCCTTGGACAACATGCTGTACTTGGCGAAATTCCACCAGGACACCTACATCCGGGTAAAGGCTGGGGCCAGCTGCCGCCCACGGACGCCCCGTCGCCTGCCTCCCCCCCCCCCCTCACGCCCTCTCCTCGCCTGCAGATCGTCCTGGAGAACAGCAGCAGAGAAGACAAGCACGAGTGCCCCTTTGGCCGCAGTGCGATCGAGCTCACCAAGATGCTGTGTGAGATCCTGCAGGTCGGGGAACTGCGTAAGTGCGCGGCTCCCCGCACGCCCACTCCCTGGGCTCGGAAGCCCGGTGAGACCCGAAGGTGCGGCGTTAGGCGTCCGTGCACCTGGACAGCCTTCTTGGGCTTTATTTTTTTTTAATCACTGAGTGAGCTGTAACCCGTCTACCCTTGTTTATCACGGGAGTCGTGGCTGTGGCTTGTTTGAGCTGGTGATCTGAGAACGTTTGGCAGCTTCGCCACCACCCACTTACCCTCCCAGTTCTGAGTCTGATTCTGTTCCTCCGGACTGCAGAGGAGCCCAGGCTTCTGGACACGGGCCCCCAGCGTCATCCTTTGCCCGCTTCTCCTTCCACAGCAAATGAGGGACGCAACGACTACCACCCGATGTTCTTCACCCACGACCGCGCGTTCGAGGAGCTCTTTGGCATCTGCATCCAGCTGCTGAACAAGACCTGGAAGGAGATGAGGGCGACAGCCGAGGACTTCAACAAGGTCAGGGTCGCAGAGCTCCGAGGCCTGGGCAAGGCCACCCCAGGGCAGCCTGGGGCAGCTGGCCCAAGCCTGGCCCCCTCTGAGCTGGAAGACGGCGTGGTTGGCAGCGCTGAGTCACAGGACAGAGGTGTTGAGAGTATCAGCAGCCCCAGAACCCTGAGCAGGGGTCTCCCCGCTGGACCGCTGTTCCACCCGGTGGACCAGTACCAGCCCCTCCCGCCTTCCTTTGGGGACAGGAGGGAAGCTGGCCGGGACAGCAGGGGTGACAGAGCACACAGGCTGCGCAGGCACCGCGGCAGTGTTAGAGTCCGAGTGACCAGTGTGAGTTCACGTCAGGGCTACTTAGCAGTAGGAGCCACTCCTCGATGCTTTCTGAGTACCTGCCTCTCTGACGGCACTGCCAGGCCCTCAAAAGCTCATCATCTAGGAGTTGGCTCTTTTGAAGCTGCTCACCTCACTGTAAAAACTGTAAAATATAAAGAAGGGGAACATCTAACTCCCCTGCCCAGTGACCACGACCCTGATGATGTTTCCCTCTAGTATTTTTTTTTTCTGTGTATTTTTCCTTCATTGGTAGGGAGCTGATGGGACATGCAGATGGTGTCCTGCTTTCTACTGTAGCTGTTATTCTAAGGGAACTAACAGGTATTTTGTATTCACACCAATGGGCCAGGCATGGTGCATCCAGAGACTGGGGGTCTCCTACTCCTCGTGGTGGCCTCCATCGAAGATGTGTCTTCCTTTCTCTCACTTTAAAGACCAGTAGGTGGGTCCTAAGGATGTTGAGTGGGTTGCTCGAGGAACAGATTAAGGTGCACAGTCAAGCCTTAAACCCCTGTCTCTCTGGTCCAGCCACCTCCTCTCATTCTCCCCCACCGTTGACCTGTTGAGAGGTACCAGAAATGAAGCGTTTGTCAGCATCGCGGTCCTCCATAACCGTCTAAGGCAGTGTGCCTTGAGAGCCAGTGTTCTTCCTCGCCCAGCAGATGCCCGTGGTGCCTGCTCTGCCCAGGACCCAGAGGACAGAGCCCGGGGTCCGTTTCCTGGGGCTGTGCTGAGGCTGCGCCTCCTCCTCTCTCAGGTCATGCAGGTGGTCCGAGAGCAGATCACTCGAGCTTTGCCCTCCAAACCCAACTCTCTGGACCAGTTCAAGAGCAAACTGCGGAGCCTGAGCTATTCCGAGATCCTGCGGCTGCGCCAGTCGGAGAGGATGAGTCAGGATGACTTCCAGTCTCCGCCGATCGTGTAAGTGCCCGGCCGGGGGCGGTGCTGGGGGTGCTGCCAGCACCTTCCCTTCCCCACCCCCCCCACACCCCCAGTCCCCGTGACCTCCCCTGATTCAGGTGCTCGTCCACCCCAGGGAGCTGAGGGAGAAGATCCAGCCCGAGATCCTGGAGCTGATCAAGCAGCAGCGACTGAACCGGCTCTGTGAGGGGAGCAGCTTCCGGAAGATTGGGAACCGCCGGAGGCAAGGTGACCTGAGGGCGCGTTCCTGGATGTCCGTCTCTCCTGCCTGGCGCCACCGCTCGCGGGCCTGCGGCGTCCCTGGGGGGAGCGGGCAGGGAGCGAGTCCTCTCTTGGCCCCTCGTGTGCCCGGCCTTTCCTAGAACTGTCCTCGTTCACCTGCCTGGCTTCCCGTGTGTTCCAGAGCGTTTCTGGTACTGCCGTCTGGCCCTGAACCACAAAGTCCTGCACTACGGGGACTTGGATGACAGCCCTCAAGGGGAGGTGACGTTTGAGTCCCTGCAGGAGAAGAGTAAGTTCAGGTCCCCGTGGGCTGTCGTGTAGCCGGACTCCTGTCAGCAGATCTGAGTTCTGCTTTTGGCTGCTGCAAACTGGTTATCTGGCCTCAGGCCCGTTATTTCATCTGAACCTGTTTCCCAGGTGGTCAGTGGTTCTCTCTATCTGGTTGACATCAAGGAGCTGTTTGGAGATTCAGTAAGATCACAGATAGGAATGGGTTTTGCAGATTGGAAAGGATGATGCAATACTGAGTTGAAAGGCAGTGGTTAAGAGCAGAAGCTCTGAAGCCTGACTGCCTGGATTCAGATCCTGGCTTTGCTGTTAATTCTAATTAATTACAAGTTACTTCTCCTCTCTGCCTTAGATTCTTCTATAAAATGGGAATAATAGCCACATTGCCCCCTTCAGAGGATTGAATGAGTCCTATCTGTAAAGCACTTAGAACAGTGGCTGGCAGGGAGGAAGAGTAATCATTAGTTGCCGGTTGCTATGGCCAACGTTGTCATCCTTATTACTGTGAAGTGGAAGTGAGGTGTCTGAGGCCCCGTTCGTTCGGGAGACCATGCAGAGGTCTGGCACTGACCCCAGCAGGCCAGGGTCCAGGCCAAGGGGCCACAGAGGAGGGAATGACGTAGGCCACCCTCCCTGAGCTCACAGCACTGTGGGGCTGGGGGCTAGGGCGTCCCTTTCAGCACCAGATTGGATGCAGGGACCAACCTACAGCATAAAGCTTCCGGAAACTAATTCTCTTCGTTTTTCAGTTCCTGTTGCAGACATTAAGGCCATTGTCACTGGGAAGGATTGTCCCCACATGAAAGAGAAAAGTGCTCTAAAACAGAACAAGGTGAGTGGAGAAGCGGCCCTGAGTCTGAGCTGCTGTCCCAGTGATCCTGGGCATAGTCGGTGGTGGCTGCTTTCTGGATGCATGGCCTCCCATTCTCTCTCTTTAAACTGACCCTGACTGTTTTATTAAGAACAGTCTGAACAGACACCAAAATAGAAAGAACCCTCATATAGGCCTTGCCCAGCCTCATCCACCATGGCAATGTCCACGTCCACTTGTCCCTCTTCACTTATTACTTTGAAGAAAATCTCAAGTGTTATTTCATTTTACCTGTAAACATTTAGATTGTATTTCTGAATTATAAGGACTCTGTTTAACATAATCACAATACTGTTTTCACATCTAAAAGGAGATAAAAAGTTGTTATTTAGAATCAAATATTCCACTGATACTTGATTTTTCCACTGTCTTAAAAAATCCCACTTTCTCCACATAAAAATACATAAATGTTTATAAGCATTTGCACGCACATACACACACACTCAAACCCAGTTTGTCTGCCGAATCAGGATCCAGATAGGGTCTACACATTGTGATGGGGCTTCCCTGGTGGCTCAGCGGTAAAGAATCTTCCTGCAGTGCAGGCGATGCAGAAGACGTGGGTTTGATCCCTGGATCGGGAAGATCCCCTGGAGGAGCAAATGGCAACAAAGTCCAATATTCTTACCTGGAAAATTCCATGGACAGAGGAGCCTGGTGGGCTACCATCCACTGGGTCACAAAGAATAAGACATGACCGAGTGTGCGAGAGACACAGACACACATTGTGATTAGTCTTTAAGGTTTTTTTTAATTCTTAAAAAAAATGTTTTTAATTTAAAGAATTTTATTTTTTATTATTTATTTGTGGGATCTTAGTTCCCTGATCAGGGATTGAACCCAGGCCCTCAGCAGTGAAAACACAAGAGTCCTGACCACTGGACTGCCAGAGAATTCCCTCTTTTAATTTCTTAATTCATAAGTTCCCCCTCCATCTTTTTCCCCCTCTCTCTTTGCAGTTCATTAGTTGAGGAAACCAGGTTGCTTGTTTGGTAGTTTTCCAGAGTCTAAAATCTGCTGATTGTCTCCCCATGGTGTAGTTGAGTCTGTTCCTCTGTCCCAGATCTGTAATTGGTAGCGAGACCTTGAGGCTTGATCCAGTCCAGGCCTGACCTTTTTTATTGTGGCCAGACTCCTTCCTAGATGGTATCATATTCTATCAAGAGGCACATAATGTCTCTCTCTTTGTGATGTTAGCAGACTCTGGACGCTCAGTGCCTTGTTTCATTAGTACATTAAGGTTTGCAAACTAGTGAGATTCCAGTGCAGTCATCCCTTTTCATGTATTAACTGAACTGCTTCTCTAAAGAGAAACTTGCCGTCATTGACTGGTTTCCCAGTGGTACAGTTTATATAAGAAGGGAGGCTAAACGCTTGATTCTTCCCTTTTAAGTACCTACTTTTAAAACAAGGAGTTAGGTCTCTGGTATCGTCCAACAGTGACTTATTTTGTGCATGTGTTTTGTTTTTTAGTATTATAAACTCATGGATTTAAGCCTGTTATATTTCTTTCATTACAGTTGTGTTGTTGATGCTCAAGTTGTTCCATCTGTGGCCACAATTTGTTTTTGTTGTGGTGGGTTTTTTTTTAAACTGTTAAGACTTTCTGTTTAATTACCCATATATATATATATATATATTTGAGATAATACACAGTCATGAACTCTGACATTCAAAGGTTCAGAGTATTGAGAAATGAGTTCTCTATAACCTTAAAAGTGTCATCACATCCCAGGCATGACTTGGGTGGGGAGTGGGTAAGTGAAGGTTGATGACTGCTGGCCTCATCTCCAGCCCCACTTGTGCATGAGCCTGAGGACCTTGATGCCGTCACATGTGAATAGGCGCATTTGGTGATGGTGCCAAATTGCTAGGACTCTGGCCAAGATCTTGGTGTGTAGAGCTCAGGCCATTACATTGCTCCAGATAACTGGAACCCTTTCTCCTTTAGGAGGTGCTGGAATTGGCTTTCTCCATTCTGTATGACCCTGATGAGACCTTAAACTTCATTGCACCTAATAAGTACGAGGTGAGCGATGTGGCCCTGTCTTGGACAGCCGAGCCTTCTCTGTGACTCTGCAGCTGGAGGGGAGGAGTGAGCAGAACAGGCACATCTTTCTAAAGGCAGGGGCTTCCAGAGTGTCTCGAAGACTGTGACACCAAAGATCTGCCATGCCGGGGGTCCTTCCAGCAGCAGTAGGTTGTCTTTAGAAGGACAAGGTCCACTAGGGGTAACTTATTTGCCTGGAACTAGGAAAAGTCTCCTCTTTGCAGTTTCTGCATGGCCACCCACCCAAGAGAACCTGACCAGTCCTCCCTCCTTGTGTTTATGGGGCACATGTTGTAGTGCATCTGACCTGGGCTTTGAAGCCAGGTGGATCTTGCGCTCCTGACACGGGGCCTGCAGTTTCATCTGTACCACCAGAAGATGCTAGATATTAAAGAGCAACTGTGGTTAACAGCATACGTGTCTGGTGAGCTCTGGGAGCCACTGGAGGGAACTGGAGGTGGGGCTTCTGGAAGAGGAGACCCTAAGGCAGGGGGCCTGAGCTGCCAGTGGAGTTTATTGGGAAGAAATGAAGAACTTGCAGGTGGGAGACAGGTGAGCAAAGGTATGAAAAAGATGGAACAAGAGGAATTAGGGAGGAATGGGTTGAGAATTCTCTGTTGTTCCCTCTTATCCTGAAACCATCAAGTTCAGCTTTTCTAGTACTTATTTTTAACATTTATTGATTTTTTTTTAAATTTACTTCTCTTGAAAAAAAGTTGATTTTTACAGGGATTCCTTTCCTGCCTTTTTCACCAGATATGTCTTTCCTTCCCACTATTCCAGATTTGGGGGCGATCTCAGGTAGCTGATGTCCCTGTTCTTAGATCCCATTTTGCTGTTTTCCTTAATAGTATTTTTTTTTAAATCACACTTCATATTATCTTAGGGAGTTTAAATGTAAATCCCTTATAAAAATCAAAAGGTCTTTTGAGCAAGTGACCTCCCAGCAAGCACCTCCCAGCAAGCATCTCCCAGCTTACCTTCGCCATTATCTCGGATCCGTGCTGCCTGTCCTGCAGGGCCCCAGAGAGACTCTCTGAGCCCTCTCAGCAAAGGGACCGCAGCAGGCCCTCCGCTGACCAGGGGCCCCCGGGTGACATTTGCAACTTGCTTCCCATAGTACTGCATCTGGATCGATGGCCTCAGTGCCCTCCTGGGGAAGGACATGTCCAGCGAGCTGACCAAGAGTGACCTGGACACCCTGCTGAGCATGGAGATGAAGCTGCGGCTGCTGGACCTGGAGAACATCCAGATCCCCGAGGCCCCACCGCCGGTGCCCAAGGAGCCCAGCAGCTACGACTTCGTCTACCACTACGGCTGAGCCTGGAGCCGGAGCAGACAGTACCCTGCAAGGGACTTGGGGCCCAGGAGGAACACTCGCAGTCTGGTGCCTTGTCTTTGCTTGTACAGAATCCGTAGTGACCGTGGGGGCCAGTCAGCGCCAGTCACACCTCAGACTCACCTCGGGCCACCCTGAGCCTCCTCTCTGTCCCCATCCACTCTGAGTCGTGAAGGCGGGGTGCTCTGCCCTCGCCATCACCGTGGAGCCTGGGGACGGGCCATGAGGGACGGACAGCAGACACCCTTGCCTTCCAGGCCAAGAAACTGCTCCTGGAGCCAGAGTCAACCACAGCCGCTCACCTTTTCTCCCTGAGCCTGCTCACCGGTCGCCTGGATCCCCCAAGGGGGCGAGAGCTGGCCCAGGAAAGGCTGTCCGCAGAGGACAGACAAGTTGGGTGGTTTGAGAGCCTCAAGGGATCCAGGCCTGTGTCTCAGATCTAAGTGGAAGCCTCGGCCTTTGCTCAGTAGATGCCTTGCCCTTGCTTTTGCGGTCTTCGTGAGGGCTCACCCGGCCTTGCCCAGGGCCAACGTGCTGCTGCTGCTGCTGCTGCTCTGATGTCTCTGTTCTCCAGGGCCACCAGGTCCTCTTGCCCACGCATTTGCCTGGGCAGAGGGACATGTCTCCGTGCAAGCTCGCAGTCTCTCATCCTGGCAAGTCAGAGACACGCAGACTGAGTCCCACCCTCAGAGCCTCGAGGCAGAGCCGAGAGGAGACCTGGGCCTAGACTGTGGTGCGGTCACTAGAGTCCACTTCTCTCCCCTCCACATTTATATCATGTCCTTGCTTGGGGATAAAACTCCCACCTAACCTGAACAGCCGCCCTTCCAGTTTGCACTCCTTCAGCCTTCCTGGCCTCGGGAGGTTTGCCTCCCCTGCCCTCCTCCCCCAGCGCTGTGGTCTCTGCCATTGGCCATGATTTCAGGGAGCCGGCTGGGGCCCGCAGAGGCCCCCGCTGTGCCCATGAGGCTTCCCTGGTGCTGCAGCACTCGTAAACCACACGCGCGGGCACCGTGGCTTTCAGTATTGGTAGCCTAGCATGGTGGGGACTGCCCAGTGAAGAGTGTACTGTATATTTTCTTTACTATAGGCCATACTTCTACAGACATGTATATATATTTATATAAGATCTACCTATCCTAGGGTGGAGTGTTGGAGGGAAAATAAAATGGGAGGCCAAAAAAAAAAAACACAAACCAAAAGTCAGCACTTGCAGTTGCAAGCCAAGATTGTAACCTGAGAGTGGCCAGGAGCTTCCTGTCAGTAACCATGTTTTCAATAAATACTCTTTCATGTACACACCGGTTCCCACTAACAGCTGTTTCTCTGTACTGGCTCCCTGCCCCAGGGAGCTTTCACCTTGACAAGCCTTCATTTCATTGTGTCTGGGAGACGCTGGAGAGCTCCAGCTGGAGTCCTCAGCCACCTTCCTAGAGCCGCCGCCGCCTCCTCTTCAGCCACTGTGCCCCACCACACGCGGGACTGCACACACACACACAGACCTGCCTGCTGGCTAAGGACGCTCACAGGCTCTCCCGCCGGGACAAAGTGCTTTCTGCTCAGGCCTGCCAGGTACAGCCCTGAGGACATGGCCTCCCTCCTCCCCCTGCCAGGGACACGGCCAGGAAACAGCTCGATACTTGTGCCTTACAAGGAAGACATGTTCTTCACTCTGTGTGCTGCCGGTGCTCGGTGCCCAGCCTGCCAGCTGGTGTTCCATACTGTCCTCCAAACCTCAGCCTTGGTGGCTTGGAGGCTTGACTGAGGGCCGTGATGAAATAGATACTTCATCTTGCTTCTGTGGAAGAAGTGAGTGAGGACGAGTGCTTTCAAAAGGCTCAGAAAGTGTATGCAGCCTTGACTGAATAAAGCCAAGAGCCTCGGTGCCATTGTAGGTGTTGGTGTAAGTGCTGAATGAACGAATGCCTGGTGATGCCAGCTGGCGGGGGCAGGGCAGCAGTGATTTGCATAAAGAACTGCTTACACTCTGGCCTTGAGCCTTCTGTTCAGAGAGGCCAGGGAGCCCAGCTGGGTCACTTGCAAGGACTCCTGTTTGCAGCCAGCCTGTGAGCCATCCAGGAGTGGCTGGAGAGGGAGGGCAAAAAGTTCCAAACTGAACCCCACTATGTACCCTAGCCAGTTCTGGCCTCCAAATGGTTCTCTCTCTCAGCATGGTCTTAATGCTTTCCCTGAATTCTGAAAAGTGGGTAAGATCTCAACTCCCCAGTTGGCGTTTTGGGGCCTACCACAACCTGCCTTTTGCCTACTTTTCTAACGCATGGTTTTTGTCAACTTCGTGTAAACAAGTGTGCTCCTAGCCAGACTCCAGCCTTCTCCTCGCCGCCTTCTTTCTCCTGCCTGGGATGTTCTCCGCTTACTCAACTTCCTGAAGTTGAGACCATGCTCATAAAATTTTCAGGCACTCAAAATGTTTCACCAATGTTTACTATTTATTCCCTCCCACGGATCTTCTAAGTCCTGAAACCTGATGCCTCTGACATCACTCCCTAGCTGGCTTGAGCTTCCATAGGAAAAAGCCCAGGAGAGACCCGTGTTTCCATGGTTGCCCAGCACTGGGTTGGAATAAGGTAAATGCTTAAATTTGTAAGTAGGTGACCTTTTCCTGGCTGCCAGTGGTGGGCAGGGCTCTTGCAGCAGGCACCTTGGTTGACCAGGACCTTGGTTGATCACAGGAAACACAACCAAGGGGGATGCTCAGGCTGGGCTCCTGGGGAGACAAGGCGCGCAGCACGCGGTTTCACAGACCTCACGGGGGGACCCGGCCCCGCCCCCGGCCCCGGCCCCGGCCCCGACACGCTCCGCCCCTGACCCGGCCCCGCCCCCATTGGCTTCCGGCAGAAGCGCCCCCCAGTGGCGGCGGTCGGCCTCTCACTTCCGGCAAGAGGATCCAGGCCTGCAGCGCCGGCTGGGCGAGGTGAGTGGGCGCGCGGCGGGCCTTCCGCGCGCTCCCGGGGTTGGAGGGGGACCCGGGCGGGGCTGCGAGCGGGGTCCAGGCTCGGCGCCGCGCGCCACGGCCGCGGGTCCCGCCGGGGTCCTCCTCCTCTCGGGCCTCGGTATCGCGGTCGTGGAGGGGCCCGGGCTCCGCGCTCGCTCCCCGCTGCGTGACCCAGGCGGGCATCACGCAGACCGGGCCCTGCACTTGGAGAGGCCGCATCCCGCCGTGGGTTGGGAGTCGGGGGTGGGTGGTAAACACGTGGACAAACAAGGAAACGTCAGGTAGTGGGAGGTGCCACCAGGATTAGACGCCCTCCTCCTCACACCCCTACCCCGTCCCAGGCCCCAAGATGTTCAGCTGAGCAAAGATCTGCGGCCGCAAATACAAAGGACACAGGCCTGATGTGTTGGGCGAGTGGCCAGGGGCCGGCGTGGCGGCTTGGGGGTGGGGAGGGGAAGATGAGGTTGCAGAAGCGGGCAGAGGATGGGAGGCCTTCCCCTCGGGTCTGCTGAGGAGTTGGGATTAACCCTGTGAGGGCCTGGTCTGCTTTCTATGCTCAGGCCACCTCTGCGGCTGGATGGCGGCCTCCAGGCTGTAGGAGGAATTGGAAGCAGGGACACCAGTGAGGAGCCTCGTTAACTTTCGAAAAGGTGCTCCCTGTGGGCTGGGGTCCTCATGGGGACTTCCCAAAGGTGGCGGGCCTGGGCTGGCTCCTTGAAAGAGAGGCAGGATTTGAACAGTGGAGGGATCGTGTGCACGGCAGTGTTGGGCCGAAACCACTACAGAAGCAAGAAGATGCAGGAAGTCGATTCCCAGCAGGGTGCAGATGGCCCTGGTGTGGTGGTGATGGGGGCGGGGGGCGTGCGAACCATGGAGAGGGAATGCCTAGTGCCAGCAGGCCCGGTTGCCTGTGGGACTTAGCAGTCAGTCTCAAGCGGGAGTGGTTTTGCCCCACCCCCACCCCCCCACCCCTGCCACGTTAACAGTTGGCAACATCTGGAGACATTTTTGGTCATCCCAACTTGCGGGGAAGAGGTGCTTCAGACCCCTAGTGCACAACAACCAGGGATGCAGCTAAACATCCTCCCATGCACAGACAGGGCTTCTCCCAGCAAAGAATTATCTGGCCCCAAATAGCACTAATGCCACAGTTGGGAAGCCTTGGTATAGAGGAAGGAGCGTGGGCCTGGAGTTCTGTTAGAGGTGGGTTTGGTGCCCGCATGCTCCACTCTCTGGTCATGTGAAGGAGTCTGACGTGGGGAGCACAGGTTTCCAGAATTTCCCGAAGAGAACCACAGCCTCGGGTGTCCTTCAGGCCAGGCCTTGAGCCAGCTCCCACAAGGGGGAGGGGACCTGGTAAGCCAGGTTCCAGAGTACAGAACTGAGTGCTTTCCTTTCAGAAAGGACTGGGGGTGGGGGAGGTAAGATATGTCTGATAGGAAGGCTTCCAGAAGGAGGTGGTATTTCAGCGGGGAGGAGCATGGAGAAGGAGAGACACATGGATGGGGCCGCAGGTGGGTCACACTGGACCTGGGTCCGCCTGGTATCCCCCCCCACCCCAGCCTACCTGCTCTGGATGCTCATTAGGCTTGGCTGGATTGATAAGGAGGCAGGGCTTGGTTTCACTGGTTTTCTTTGGCAGAGACTTGAAGGCAGGCACCGCCTTTTTGGAAGTGGTTGTTAGAGGCTAAGGCACAGGAGACATTAGTTTTCTGGTTCCTTTTCAATGCCTCCAAGACCAGATCATCCCCTGAAAATCACGTGCCCTCTCTAATCGAACCACATAGGGAGCACAGGGTGCCAGGTGGCCATAAGCTGTCGTGAACACCACGCCTGCTGTGTGCCCCACAGCCGGCTCTCAGGCCTGGCACACAAGTGATGACGGAGGAGTAGGGGAGCAGCCGAGTCTCGGGGGGTTCGTGGGGGCAGCGCTCCCCCGGGAAGGGCCATCCGAGCTGATGATCAGTAGGACCCTCGGAGGAAGGAACGCAGGGTGTGCAGAGCATTTGGCTCCCTGGGGCAGCAGGGAAGAGCCCTGCGTGTCCGGGGAGAGGAAGGCCCTGGGTGAGACAGGGCACCCAGAGCCCCGCCACGGGGCAGGCCTCCTTGGCCAGGGAGGGTCGCGGTCTCTGTGAGAGCCCCGGCAGCTGCTCTGACATGATCACATTTGCATTTTTAAAAGGTCACTTTGGTGCAAATTCATGGAAAAGAGCTCGGGGTGACAGGAGAGTGGAGGTGACAGGTTGCGGGGAGTCCCGCGGCCTGGTCAACCCCTGCTCCGTGCAGGCCAGGGCTGGGGTGGCTGCGTCGGGTCACCCAGCCCCTGCCACCGCCAACGGGTGCGACCCTTTTCCTCTTTCTAGTCTCAGCCCTGGGGTCCGGCAAGCTGCATCTGCCATTGATCATGGAGAGGGTCGGCCTGGGCCACCAGCCCCGAAGGTGAGGACAAGAGGACGGCACCTGGGGCTCCGCGGAGGATTGCAGATCATGGAAACGGCAGCCAGGAGGCGTGCTTGCTGAAAGTCGCCAGCCCAGCCCCGACCGGCCCTTCCCGCGGGGCTTCTTCCCGAGAGGTGGTTGCCGCCCCCACCGGCCAGCGTCCGCGGATGGGGAGGTGCGCCCCCGACGTGGCCTTCGTGTGGAGGGCGCTGCTGACCCTGGGGCTGGTGCTGCTCTACTACTGCTTCTCCATCGGCATCACCTTCTACAACAAGTGGCTGACCAAGGTGCGCGGGGGCCGCGGCGCCCCCTGATATTTAGCAGCAGGGAGGCACGGGCTTCAGCCAGCCAGCCTGGGAGCCAGTCCACACCCTTGGTGGGACAGGGCCTCGCCGGGGAGTCCCCTGAAATACCGGGATGGAGGGGCATCAGGAAAGGGGGAGACTGGGGAGTGAGCCGGGCAAACTTGGGTGTCAGAGGGCCCCTCAAACGCTGCAGAGCCCCCAGAGGCCCCTGAACCTGCAGCCAGGCCAGCAGGGAGGTGGGGGCCGGGGGCCGGGGTGGGCGCTCACGGAGGCACCCCGCTCTGTGCTTGGGCTCCCCAGAGCTTCCACTTCCCCCTCTTCATGACGATGCTGCACTTGGCCGTGATCTTCCTGTTCTCCGCCCTGTCCAGGGCCCTGGTTCAGTGCTCCAGCCACAGGGCCCGCGTGGTGCTGAGCTGGCCCGACTACCTCAGAAGAGTGGCTCCCACAGGTGCGCGCCTGCCTGTGGGCCGGAGGGAGGGGGCCGCTCGGAGGGGAAGGAAGGTGGGAAGCTGAGCCTGTCTGGGGTCCCTCCTCTCCTCGTCCTCCCCACCCCCGCTGCTGCCTCGTGGGTGGGATGCCGTGACTCAGCCTTCCCC